TGGGTTGTGTTGTTTAACAGGGGAAAAGCTGAAGCTTCTTTAAGTGTGTTTAATAGAGGTCAAGGAAAAGAACTGTTAAAATACTGAAGATAACTTCCTAGCAGAGATCCTTGAATTGAATAAGCTTTGCTGGATTGCTTGTCCGAATACAGAATTTTTGCATTAAAATTTAGTGTTTGTTCTTGTCTTGTTCTTGTTCTTGTTTGCAAATAGCAGACAATGTCAAAAAATTTCACCTGGTCAGGACAGTTTGTTGAAGAATGACTAGCCACTAAACTTTCTTAACAGTGTGTCAGAACTGTATCTTACTAACACATGCCATAAAGGATGAGCTGCGTCAGCCAGAAAACTTCTTGGCAGATTTCAGAGAACTATAAGAGCAGTAATTGTGATTCTGGTTATTATACATAGTAGAGTTTCACTTGGGGAGTGGTGGTTCAGCCAGATGAGTGAGTGGTTTGCAAGAAAAGTACAGCAGCACCAGCTCTTCATCTTAGGCCTACTGCATTTTTTAGACAGCTTCAGTCAATAATAAGGAATGGGATTGGGGAAAGAGGAATAAGATTGGTTAATGGGATTCTGAAGAGCCCTGCTCATGAACACAAGCTGAAAAAGTTCTGCATTTTTTAAAGTTACAGTCAGTTCTTCTCACCAGACATTCTGGAAATTTTCTTAAGCCATTTACCATTTGAACTCAGGCTATAAGTTTATTAAGTAAAGGTCAATGTCTAATTAGGTATTCCCTCTTCAGGGTTATTGAACAGTATTTTTAAAAAAGTGATAAATTATAAATTGCAGAGGAAGCAGGCTTTTGAATACGCTGATTTTCAGCCATTTCATCTGAGTTATCTCTGCATAAATTTGTGAGAAAGTTAACATTTTATCCATCATACTATCTTCCCCTTTCAATACACAAGGAACCCGTTAATGGAGATTATGACTTCCAGAGGAGATCCATATAGCCATTATTATAAATGGCCTCCAGAGAGCAACCAGCAACACACAGGTAGTCTTGTGTGACAGAGGGAGAAATGTCAAATGAAAAGTTAAACCCTTCTAGATAATCTGGTCACAAGGATTTGTTTCATTTCTCCCTCTGCATTAGTGGCCACACAGGATAGTTCATTAGGGTCTTACAGGATGGCTTCTTGTGGTGGGAAAGGAAGGAAAATACCTTTGTAACCTTTGAACTGTAACCCTACATACTCAGGGATCACTGGACTAGCATCAGGCAAGAAACCCTTGTTTCTGTGGTTATTTTCACTGGCATGGTTTTGTTGTTCCTTACCTTTGAGAAAAAATCAGTGAACAAGGGATGTTCCACACAGTCATGAGGAAATATCGAATGTAATTTTCTTGTAGAGAACTTTGAATTAAGATTTGCTGAATAGCTTATGTAAAAATAGAATACTTAGAATTCTACATTAGAATTTATAACACAATCATGATGAAAAACTTCTTTACTTTGAGGGTGACAGAACACTGTAACAGGCAGTCTGGAGGGGTTGTGAAGTCTCTTTCTCTAGAGATATTCAAAGTGCATCTAGATACTTTCCCATGTAACATATTGCAGGGAACCTGCTTTAGCAGGGGGTGGACTTGATGATCTCCAGAGGTCCCCTCCAACCCCTAAAATTCTGTGATTCTGTGATTATTTACCTGTTTGTTGGTTTGTTGGTTTTTGTGTTTTTTTTTGTTTGTTTTTTTTTTGTTGGTTTTTTTTTTGTTGGTTTTTTTTTTGCTGAGAAAAAATTATCTTCAGTATTTTCAAGCCAAAGCCTGTGCAGAGGTGTTAACACTGATTACTAATTTCAGTTAATTTTGTGGTAAGACTATCAGTCTGTGAAACACAAAAACAGATGAAGTGGTGCATGTTGTCTACTTCTGCATCTGTAGTGTCTTGTAGATGTCCTGCCATGTAGGCTGACCAAAACATGGCAGGATTGGAGACTATCCTGAGGTTAACTGTGACTATAACCTTTTAAAGTGAATGCATTGTAGCCTAATTGTGAGAGCCCATCCTTACTTCCCAGTACCATTCACATGCTAACAGTTTTTAGGCTTCCATTGGATTTCTCAAGTGACTAAACTGGTTTATCTTTGTCAACCAAATCCTAACCTCACAACTCCCTCTTGGAGGCAGGCCAAATGAGGATCCTAGTACAGAGCTAACTGCCATGCTAAGTTCATTAGCAGGGAGCCTTGTGCCCTCCTCCCATGTTCAAGTAGCAGTCATGGCGCTGTGCTCATGAGCCAACATGGGTTGTCGTTGGATTAAGCCAGTTATGACAGCATATTCATTGCCAAAACAGGTGTCCCTGTCTACTCTGAGTGGATTTGTTCAACAAATCAGAGCCAACCTGCAGTCCTCCAGCTCACCACCCTGACTTAGACCTTTGAAAAAGCTCCATCTAGGTAAATAAGTGCTGTATTATTCAGTAGGAGCTCTGATCTGCAGATATGCACAGAAAGGCAGTTACTTCTAGGCTCAATTAAAATTTAAAATACGGAATCATATGGAAAGATAAATCTATTTCTTACACAAAAATCAGGAAAATGCATGAGTACTTCTAATGAAAAGAAGATATAAAATAGTCCCTTCTGACTAGAAAGCAAAAATAAAGTGATGGGAAACATTTATTTATTTATTTACTTATTTATTTTTTCCGTAAAAGCTTGCAGTTTCTAACCTGCTGGGAAGAAGGAAATGCTCTAAATTCTTCCCTGGTTAGAGTGTTGCAGCAGAAGGGGAAGATGCTGACCAAAGGGACATGGAAAGTCCTGCATTTGACATTTATGAGTGGAAGTCAGCATTACCAGATGTTCATAAAATGCAGCTTCCAAACTGAGTTCCATGAAGACAAATATCCCATTTCATTTGGATTTCTGTTTCCTCTATTGACTAAGCTACAGCAGAATCTACCAAGAGTATAATCCCATTCTGCAGGGGGCTGGGGTTCGGCAACCAAGAGGGCTTTTCCATCTCTGACTGCAGTTAATCCTCAAACTTTTATGTGACAAAGTACAGGAGACCTCAAGCTGCAGATGGATGCATCTTCATATATGACCTATGTACAAGTCCATGGCAGCTGGTATGTGATCACATCCCACTTGGAGAAAATCAGCTTGGGTCTCATATCAAGTCATACAATATTTTTCTGGACTTTTCCTATTATCTGGAGTGGGGCCTGTGGAGGGATTGGGCTTCACACACTGCACTATAGGTAGTGCCACCTCAGCAAGTATCTGTAGCTGTATGCCCTCCCTGTCTGGGCTGCATGTCAGAGACACCAGTGCTTTGCAGATTTTGTGTAAGGATCAAAGGCAGTCTAATTTTCTGGTTCTTAGTCCACAGATCTGTGCCCTAACTGTCAAGAATGGCAGCACATTAGTTCTAGGCTCCTAAGTTTCTCTTCAAATCTGGTCTTAACTAACTCTGACATCTAAATGGTAATCTTACTGATAAGCAAAACAGATGACCTCATTATCTTTTGCTTCCCAATATGTGGTATGTGAGGGATCTATTAAAACACTTGGCATGACTTTGTGTCATGTGGTAGCAAAGAAATAATACCACAAATGCAGTTCCACATCCATAAAATCTAGAGAAGCCTTGTGCATGGACTATTTCCCTCGCCTTTTCTCTACCTCACATATAGAGCTGAACAACACATACACAACACAAATCTGACCAGACTAGTTGCCTTCGTGTTAATATCATCCCAAATCCATTTATTGTATAGCCTGTTTCAATGAAGCATGTGTACATTTGTGCATGCACATTTGTATGACATAATGTGCTTGAAAATGTCTTCCTTTGTGAATTATTAGTCCCCAGTTAAAAGATTTAAAATATCTCTTCTGACTCTTTAAGCAGACACTGTTCCCTCTCATTTTTTCTAACAGCTGTGGCTGCATCCTGCCAGCTGTTTGGTAGATGTCTGAATCAGCTGTTGGGGCTGCATGTCGGCTGGAGCTGGAACAGGGCCTCTTGGCTCAGCTACAAATGTCCTCACATATCATGGTTAGAGCTACTCCTAAACAAGCTTTGCGTTAGCTCTCAAGATTAAGGGGAGAGTTTTGAAGTGAATTAATCATCTCCATGGGAAAACAAGGAAAGGAAAAGAGTTGCTTCAGTGATGGATTACTCAGAAAGTGAGTTTGGGTTGTGTGCATATGTGTCACCGCAGACAGATTTTTTTACATCTGTACAACAAATGTTATATATTTCAGGTAGATACTCTGGTTTGTCAAAACCCAGCAAAACCAATTTGGTGGAGATATAGTGTTGAACTTTCATAACCAGGTAATGATAGCTTCAAATTCTTTAAATCGCCTTTAATTTATTGTATACAGTCTTTACAAATCAAGATTGAAGTTCAGTTGGAGAATGAAGAAGACTAGCCAAGGCAAAAGTAGAACTCTTCCAGCTTTAATCTGCCAACAAGTATAAAATCCACACCAGAGCTGTAATTACTAAGAGCAGAGACGAGGCAAATCTGCATCGTGACCCCCATGATACTTTTGGACTCCACCACTGTGTAATTCATCTGATAACAAGACAGAATACGTCACTGCACAGGTTAGTTGGGAAACAAATATTGGAGTACGAGCCAGGATGATGATGGTTTTCTGAAGACATTTTAAATCCCAACATTCTTAATAACTTAACTATTTTGCCAATACTTCCATTCAATGCACTTTTCCTACAACTGCAAACTGATTCCCAAGGCGTCCTCATCAGCCTAAAGCATTGGCTGTTAACTTTTCAACTGTCAAATCTTATATCTTCATCTCTGACGGCTTCTTTGATGCAGTTTAAAAAATGTCAGTGCAAAACTGTACAACGTTGGAAAATGACAATGCATGGACTGCAAAAAATAAGCTCAATATTATATGGACATCAGTAACCATTTACCCTGTCCTTGGAGACACTCAAGACCAGGCTGGATGGGACTCTGTGCAGTCTGTTCTAGCTGTAGATGTCCCTGTTCAATGAAAGGGAGTTGAACTAGATGACCTTTAAAAGTCCCTTCCAATTCAAACGATCCTATGATTCTGTGATTCTGTGAGTTACTTCACAGAAAGATGGAGCTCAGAATGAGCAAGCCTGGGAGGGTAGGCTGGAGGTTTGCCTTCTATTCTTCCTTCTCCCTTCCAAATGCGTGCTTGCACGGTGCTTGCACTAGCAAATTGCACCACTGAGCAGAGGTGACAGATGCAGCAGCTCATTCTCAGCTGTGTGTAGTCTGTGTTGATGTGATACTCTGTGTTGATGGGATGCATGTCTTCTCTGAAGACTTGCATCTAGGAACTGTCATCTGCTAGATCCTCTCCATATTTTTGTCACCAGTATCAGTCAGTCAGACATGCCAACTTGACCTTTCCTCTATTGTTCACTGTACAAGGCAGATGTGGCATGAGGCCCCACTGCCAGGGACTGCTTTTTGCATGGAGAAAGCAGGGCAGAGCATGTGTCTGCACAGCTGGATGGAGACGTGGTGGGGGATGGTTTGTACAAGTCAGAGTAAAAGAAAGTCTCTGTTCAAAATCTGTGTGAACTTCGTAAGTATTATGCAAGCAGAAAAGGACCTATGGAAAACTGCTTTGGTGGAAAGCAGGATACTAGCAGAGCCCACGCATGTGGCCAGAAGGAAAAACAAAGAGGCTCAGAGAATTAAATAAAGCCCATTGTCTTTCTTACACCAGAAGATTTTTTTTCTTTTTCATTTGTTTCTAGTGGCAAGCACACAAATGTGTGAGGCAACCTCAGTCTTGTCACAAACAAAACCTCTGGACAGAGATGAAGGGAATTATGACGCCTCACAAGAAAGTCCAGTGGCAACTCTTGACTTACGAGGAGAAGTCTTAAGTCTAGAGAGGTTATGTACTTTTGCATGTGTGGGTGCACATATGACAAAGAGAGGTTTCAGGTGCTTTCCTTTATGTAACCATGAGCTCCGTCCAAGTGCCTGCTGGAGCAGATCCACCCAAGTGCATGAATGCAACAAGGAAACATGCAGAGGATGATGCTTTTAATCCTGGGAAACTTTCCATTGTTTTCAATTTCTCAGCTCCAACCCCTCCCAGCAAACATTTATCCACTTATCTTCTGCTTCACGAGTTTTTCCCCACTTCTTCAAATGTCAACCTTCTCTTCCACCTCCAGAGCCTAACTTTGATCTTCAAGCTCTGCAAAGCTCTCACCCAGACAAAAGTGCTTTCAGAGATGTCCATACCTGCTCATGCCTTAAAATCCCACATCTGTTTATTTCATACCACATCAGCTGTATTTCTCCCTCTCTCACTGCCTCTTTCAGAGCTGGCACTCCTCATGTTCAGTACACAGAGCACAGCTGAACCAGTGCTATGATGGCTTCATGATTGTAATGCCTGCACACTGTTGTCATTTCTCCCTTTACTTACCAGCACTGCTTTTTTGCAAACCCAAAAGGAATGGTTATGGCATGCTCGGTCCCTCTCCCTTCCACACTACACATGTGCATATTGTCACTTAGGGTTTGAAATTTGAGTGCTAGGTCAATGCATGTCAGGAACAGGAATCCACGAGCTTTTCAAACAGGGGCAAGGAGGATCTTGTACTTGCAGTTGAACAGTTTGAATAGAAACAAACAAACAAACAAACAAACAAACAAAATATCGGGATGAAAATGGATATCTATCAAACATCTCTGGAAATGTTCCTATGTGTAAGCTCCTTCCAAATGAAACACTGTCTGAAAGCAGATAAGGAGTCAGGAGCTGATGGCCTAATCCTTTAGCTGTTTCTTTGAAGTCTCCATAAGTGTTCATGCCCCCGTGGCTTTCACAACTTTTCCTTTGAGACTAGTCAACAACCTGGTAGCACTTCAATATCAGGTAGTTTGTTTTCTTTTACCTTCACAAGCCACAAGAATGGGTTTTCTTCTCCTTTTCTGGTTGTATGCACCTTACAGATACACTTGTTTTTTTGTCTGTTGAAGACTGGCAATGGCATACTTTAATTGCTAATTCGTATACCTTGGTTGGCCATTACCTAGTGAAATTTTGCTAATGAAAAAAATCACCAAAACCATTATTGAAAATTATTCAATGAAAATTATTCAATATATAGTCACTGTTGTTATAGTCTTCCTATAACTGCTACTTTATGACAGCTTCACATCCAGTTTGGAGGGGCTTTTTTGGTCCATCCTCGTTTGCTGTCCTGTTTGCATACTGACTCCCAATTTCAAGATCAATCCTGAGTTTCTTTCTCTGCTGATTCTCAGATAGCCTTGCACTGTATTTTCCAAGACTTCAGGTGACACAATCCGCTCAACAGCTGGACTTTTGAGTGCACTTTAATTTAGAGTGTTTTTCCAACTGTTATGAATAATAAAAAAATAATAATAATAAAAAAAAACCACCTTTTGCTGGAAGGCTTAGGGCAACTTTATGCAGCACTGTCCCAATGCCATCTCATTTAAAAATAAACAAAGATCAGACTGAATACTGAAGTGTTTTTACCACTTTTTGGCAGCTGTGATAATGAGGTGTTTCCTTTAAACATTTTTGCAGTCATTTCATGGGTTATCATGTTGTGGCTACCAATCATCAGTGAAATACTAATCAACTATATTGATCTAAATCAGAGTTCCATGCACATTTTCATTTGATTTTCATAGAATCAAGGTTGGAAAAAGTCTTCTAGTCAAATACATCTCAACCATTCCAACTAAATCACATCCCTTTTTTTCTCCTAGAAACAGCTACTCTTAAGCAGACCAGAGACTTAGTTTCATCTCTTTCTTTTCTTTTATAGAATGCTTCAAATAGTTTGACATTTTAACATTACTGTTTTCAAGAAGGGAGATAAAATTGCATAAATAAAATTAGGAGATTGGTTGTTTGAGGACTTAACTATAAAATGAGTATTTCCTAACTAGCTCCAGCTCAATCTACTTGTGAGAAATTCTTGAGTTGAAAAAAGCATTTTGGGTTGGAAGAAGTATTTTTGTCTCTTCAAGAAAAACACTATAATGAAGTGAACCAATAGATTTTCACAGCTATTGTGTGTGAAATTCTGTACTTCGGAAGTTATCAGAATACAATTATTAGAGTAATAGAATCATAGCTGAAAAGGCATGGAGCAGTGGGCTCCTGTTGACCAGTTCTGTCAGTGGTGCTGGGTTCCCACAGACTGCTTGCAGTAGGCAGGATGTATCACCTGGCTGAGTAGGAGCCAGCAGAGCTCTGATGGGGCAAGTCATCAAAGCAGCAGGGAGGAGGTGATGGCTCTGGGAGAAGAAGTCCAAGCTAGAGTTTATTATGCCTATGCAAAAAGAGCTTAACTTCGGGGTGAGAGTGGCACTGAGGTGGCACAGATGAGTAGCTGGAGTCTTCTGAAGCAAGGTGGAATTTCTTTTTTTTAATCCTCTTATGCAAATGCATAAAGGAGAATGGAGTTGTGGATCAGCTGGCAGAAGGGCAGTGTTACTCCCAGGAGATCCCACTGCAATAACAGAAGATACATTTCAGTGGATGACCAACAAGAAACTTCCTCCCAGGCTGTGACTAATCCTTTATAGCCCAAGAAAATCTTCCTTGTTTATATTTAACTTAACCAAATGCCTTCTGCTTATCAGTGGGAAAACAAAGCCTCAGGCATCAGCTGATCGTCTGCTGAAGACGACACACTGCACTGTAGCTGGGGAGCCAGGTACAGAGTACAAGTCTGCCAAAAAAGTCAAGTCAGAGTAGTCAGGGATCAAAGAGTTAAGGACACTTCTGGGAGCACCCTACTCTACAAATCATGCCAACCTGCACGCAGAAGGTGGCCCAGAATCAGGGAAAGACCTCTGCAGGAGGAGTTGAAGATTTGCCTTTCCCTCGACTATAAACCATTGTAACACTTCGGGGATCTTTGATCTCACTACAAGGCATGGAAGGGAGGGAAGTACTGGGAGGACTCTTTGTTCTTCTTAACACTATCTCAGCTCTTCATCTGAGATGCAGAAACAAGTTTACTTCAAAGACAATTTGTGTGAACTCCGTGTACGCTCCTAGCCCCAGAATCAAGGATATTCTCTGATGAGAATAAATTACAAAGCACTAAGGAAAAAGGGAGTGAAATTTCATTGCTTTTAGCAAAGTTACAACCCGATACTCTTTAATAGACTCATATTGTAATTTCTTCTCAAAGCTGCTACTTTCAGTGCAGACAGAGGACAGACAAGATGGCTTTTTAATCTAGCCGTATCCCCCCCGGCATGATGGGAGTGACAGTGATGTCAGTATAATGTCATGAATAATAATAATAAAGATTCAAAGGAAAAAAAACTGTTGTGACCATGGCTCCTCACCCACTGTAGAAACTCAGCTGCAGAAAAGGAGGAGGAAAGGGGTTTGCTGCACTTTTTTGAGCCTCTACTCAAGATCATGAAACCAAAATGTCACTAACTTAAAAACTGGATGTATGTAAAGTGGAACAACAAAGTTCCTCTTTCTGTTCCTAATTGTTCCTGTGTGAACTTTGTAACATAAATCAAGAGGATCAGGCTGAACCCATCAATTGCATTCACATATGCAAGTCATGGAACCATGTTTCCTCTTCACACACTTTTGCAGCTAAGGCAAAATTTAATGAGGCATACTATGGAATAGTTTATGCTCAAACAAAGCCAACCATGAGATGCATCTTGTGGACGGTACAATGGAATCAGTGAGGAAGAGATACCAAGCAGCATTTCATATTTGGTACAGGATTCACACTGCAAACTAGTGCTGTGGTCATCTGACCTTACATTGGAAAGGAATTATTTCACATCTGGAAAAATATGTGTGTACATACTGCAAACATGCTTGAAAACAGACTCATTGCTAATAATCTTGTTCTCAATAAGGAGTGCTGGAGAAAGGCAATCTGGACTATTAGCAGGACTTGGTAGGAAGCAGTGGTTTTATAAGCTCCCAGTTTTACAAAGTGTCCTGAATTCCACATGATCTCAGCTTCTTCAGTTTCTGCCATCTACTGAAAACATAGGATAATTAAAATGCGCAAAAAGGGCTTGGTGTGATTCAGTTAAACAGATAACATTCCTTAACATTTGTAAAGGTTTAATTCCTGTCTAAAACTATAAAATAACTCAGATCGAACCTTATTCCAGTTCTTTCATTCAAATGCTGGAACTCTAGAAGAGAAATGTGTTGCTTGTTTCAATGAAATCAATGGAACTGTGATTCCAGATGTGTCCTAAAACTCAGAGATAAAAGAAGGATATTTATGGTACCAGATTTCAGGCATCTAAGTAAGATCCTTAGAGGAATGCTCAAATTTTCATTGACCACAGCAGCAGCCTCGGCTCCAGAAGCATAGTAAGCCAGTGTAAATTCCAACACATGTAAACTGCCTTAAATTAATAGAACTTTGCAACCTATAAGGAGCACAAATGAAATCATCCCCAGTCACAGATATACTTATGCAAATCTAACTTCAAATCAACATTTTGCACTTCATGAGAGGCTGCTTAGCTAATAACAGTTGCTGAGGTCCCGGGCATGGGACTTGACTTGTCAGGAAAATAATAGTTGTTGATGGGGGGGACTAAGTGTGCATAATTTTAAAAGACACTATAATTCTCCATTCTCCCCTAACCATACAAAACATACTGTAACTTGCTGGCAAGTACCTGGAATCACTGGAAGACTCACAGCCAACATCTGGTGCCTTTAGAACCTATTATTCCTTTTGCCACCTCTGCTGAACTAGAGCTTTCTGGAATAGCATGAATTAATTCCCAAAAGTTGTAATCCTGTATAATTCATTTATTCATGTGCCTGTAAAAGACATAAAAATTTAAGAGTCTGAAATAAAAATGAGTGTAATTGCACCTGTTTTTAGATTCTTTCCCATTCCACTCTACCATTTCACTTTTACTGCCATTTAAAAGGCTCTATGTTTAATTGATAGCTCTGAATTGCTGATTGCTCTTACAATGAGACTTCTCAGTAGGGAAAAATACACCCTTTGTAAATGATGTGGAAATGAGGTAGTATCTTCACTATGTACAATCTGAGATATGGATGTGGAAAACCAGAATTAGAGTGGTAACAGTGCCCACAGCTTGTGACCTAATGAAGATTTATAGGGCTGATTTTAGTGAGCAAATTCTGAGCACCATGAGAGCTCTGATGTGTACAGCACACATTTCACCAGGACTCTTCCCTTTCTGGGTTAATTAGCAATTAGTAACCTTTAGAGATTTGTTCACATATTAAACAATAACACTGAGAGTCAAAAACGGAAAATTTCTTCAAAAATGGAATTAAATTTTTGGTATGTAATACAACATTAAAAAGCACTTCATAAAAGGTGCTATGACCAAATTAGCTCTTCCTTAGAAGGTGCAGGAACACAAAGATGAAGCCATGTGAGAAGTCCAGTGAAATATCCATGAGCCAGACATTATACGGTAAGTTCATACTACACTGATTCCAATTTTGCATCTCCAAGTAGTTTGAAACCAATGAGAAAGGCTTTCTCAACAATTCAGTGGTCTGTGGATCAGGCTGTTTTCTGCCAGATATCAACTGTGGTGAGAATTTCAAATGCTTTGGAATAACTAGAGATAAATTGTGAAGAATAAGACTTAAAAACTACTCTTAAATCAGAAGTATCCAATAGGGACAACTGGGATAAAATACGCCCTGTTGTGGTCAGGAATCCCCGCACACTCCTAAATAATGGAACTGCTTGGGCTGCTTTTTAACTTCATTTCTAATCCAAAACTTCTGCCAGCATTTGCAAGACCAATAGATACCTGAGTTCTATTTCAAGTTGTCTTTGACTAGCTTTTGGTTTTAATAATTCCATCATCTTCGCTAGACCTGTCAGAAAAAAAAAAAAAAAAAAAAAAAATTATATAAAAATTTTTTTTTTTTTTTTTTTTTTTTTTAAAATTTTAAAAAATTTGGCTCACCTTTTTAAAAAAAAAAAAAAAAAAAAAAAAAATTCTATACATATTATTTTTTGTGTGTGTTTTCCTTTTAAATTTAGAAATACTGGGTTCACCTGAATGGAAATCTGACGGGAGAGGTTACAGGGGGTTAAATTTCGTGATAATATCTCTAGGAAATAGAACCACTGATACTTTCACATAGCTCTAGTTTCCAGCCACTGTTATGTTTTGATGATATGATCAATACCCATATAGATAGAAGGGACATTTCCTACCACACAAAATACAATAGCTTGAAACATGATAAGTGGTTTATGCATCCCTTTAACTGGTGGTTAACCTCATCAAATTACTGCACCTGCTAAGGCTGTGAGAACTAAATACAGATGGTGTCAGCATCTGGCTAACTGAACCCAACCCTATGTTAATTTGAGCAGATCTAAAGAACCACATGGTTGGCTCCAGCACAATGTGTTGTGACTGTGCTTCATCACACGCTAGAGTGATTGGTCCCAAGGTGCAGAAATCAGGCCAGTTAATTGCTTCCCCCTTTTTGCTGAATCCAGCATTGCAAAACCCTCCAAAATAAAGGCGTAATTAAGTCTGAAGGGGGTCATGTTCAGGAAGAGTCAGATGACCAAAAGGTCCCGTTCACCTCAAGGACTCTCAGAATGTTTGAGTCGTCAGCAGAAGCAGAGACAAGGAAAAGACAAAGGCTCTAATCCAAGTCCAAGGCATCCCCAGATCAGAGGTATTGTGCAACCTGTGCATAAAAAAAAAAAAAAAAGCCAGGACAGTGAACAAAGTCAAGCCTGAAAAAATGTGAAAACTAAGAAACCATGGTCTTGAAATCTAGCAGCCAAGGAGAATTTTGAGAATGAAAGTATGGAGAAATGACATACTGTGAGGAGACCTATATGAGGTGCCAGCTTATGTTCCTGTGTTCAGTATTGTTTTCTTTCCAGGAAAAGATTAGAGGAACTAGCTTGAAAACAGCAACACAGTGAAGAAGAACAAGAGGAAAACTCCATTTCTTTCTATCTGTTACCCAAAACATTTGACCCATACTTATTTCTTGAGTGACAATTTCATAAAAGACTGAGTCAGTGATTAATCCCTTTATACAAAAAAATTCTCCTGAACCTCTTGCACGATCCCAAGGGTCTTTTGATTGTCCTAAAGCATGAAAAGAAGGCCAGGAGAGGGATGCAGATCAAGATAAACCTTTATTCTAACCCTGCATGTAGTTCAGCTCCCATTGACTTTTCTGGGAGTGGATCATGTTAATATTTCTTGAAGTCTGGAACAGGAACTTCTCAATGAACATAAGGAATACAGTCAACCTGTCACTCTTTCACCTCTGCTTAATTTCCTACATTATTTTTTCAGGCTTTTTGTACAGTTTCAAATGGCATGAAGTGTAAATTTAAAAGATCTCCAAAGTACTCTTAGTTCTACAGCAACAGAGGGAATGAAGTAAGTAATAAAGGACATTTACACAGCAACTTGTGCTCACAAAACATGCAGACACATACATAGGCACATAATGCCTTCTACCAGATGGTAAGAATTACATGTTTACTCTATCCATGAGATGTACTCTTTTATGCACGTACAGATTATGCAGAAATATAGTCATAAGTTATACAGACCCACAAATAAGCATCATCAAATAAATTCAGATGAAAGCAAAAAATACGGTCATGGACCGTATGTGTTGACATGTTTGCATTTTTTTACGTTTCTCAACTGAGGCCACTAAGTCATCTATGCATAATTTTCTTCCTCTTGCCATGTGTACAATAGGGAATATGCAAAACACGGATGTGAATCCTTATTGCCCTTCCTCCCTCTTCTCACAGAGTCCCATGACTATATTGCTTACAAATTACTCAACAGTATTTTAAACTCTAATTTAAGAGTAGAGGATATACTGAGGTTGTACTCACTTCATCAGAGCAGGAAAATCCTCAGGATTATACCTCAGATGGAAGAGATGGAAATAATTGCAATATGCACATAACATGACACCTAATATCAAGAATGTTTTCTTCAGAGATTGCCATGGATAGGTCAAGAGAATGTCTGTATGGAGTACAGGACACATATACAGGAGGACACATATGATGGGACTCGATGACATCTGAAGGTCTTTTCCAACTTGAATAATCCTAGGATTTTGGGTCCTTTGACTTTAGGAGCTGAACAGCTAAGCTGGATGACAACAGAATGATAATAAAAGAAAGAAGTCCTTCCTTGATTATTTGTCTCTTCTTGTGTCTCCCACTGTTTTATTCAGTCTCCTTTTCTTGCAAAGTAGCCTTGCAGGTTTACTTAAATGAGATTCCTCAGGAGGAAGAGACCTGTGAGAACTGGAGATTTCATCATGTGTTTATTGACATCCTGTTTCTGTTAACTGCTGTGTCAGAGTGAGTTCAGCAGTCAGAAATCAGGAGTAGAGCCAAATCCTCAGCTGTCCTTTTTTCCTCCTCATGCTCACATTTGGCATAGCATTAGTATCATCAGTGCAGAAAGCAGCTCAGGTTTCTCCACACTACAGATGGCTCTGTGTCCTCCTTTCTTAGTTGACACCTTACCAGGCACACCTATGTTTGATCTAGGTCTATAAATCTCAGCCACGTATGCTGGTTAGACCACAGTACAAAAGGAAGTGTACAATCATGAGAGAAAGTCAGATATTCTGGAGTGTTTCCAGAAAGGCCATAAAGAAGTATAGTGTTACAGCCCATTTCATTTAAGGTGTTTACCAGCAATGCAGGAAACCGCCCTGTTTTAGAACAGGTTGGCAGTAAGTTGTTTGGTGAAAAACTCCAACATTTTACTGTTACAGGGGTTTCAAATCTGTCAGTTTCTTCTCAGCATGGAAGCACTTATGTTGTTGTTGGCATTTTTTTTTTTTTTTTTTTTTGTCTGTTTTTGTGTGTGTTTGTTTCTGAGGATCTTATTCAGGGAAGCCCCGTTCCAAACTGTATTCCTAAGGCTGGTGCTGTGCAAAACGACGTGGTGATGTATTAAAACTTACCTGTGTTGAGAATTTATGTGCTTACATACCACTCTCTGTCCCTATGAATCTCAAGCTGAAAACTTCGAGCAGTTTGACAACTGAGTTGATGCCCTTATTATCACCCATGACCCACTCATTACAGGCTACTTGTATTACAAGAAATCTGCTTTTCACTCTTCAAAGACAATGTAAGAAGCTGGTATCATGATACAGCTCTAGAAGATTTCTTGAGTCACTGGACTGTTATTTTCTCCTCCTGAGGCTGTGTAATTTTGTTTAATGGAGGAAAATATCCAGGAGCCCATAAGACAGAGACATCCTATCAGTTGTGTGTGGTCTTTCATTGATATAGGCCAAGATTCTGCCAGGGTGAAGAGTAATTCTACATTAAACAAAATTCTAGAAGGAGGGAGATGGCATTCAAGCCCTGCTTCAAGTCAAGCAAAGGTTGAATTTGAAGCTCCCCTCTCCTCAACAAGCTAATTTGGCCTACCTGGAGAAAAAATATATATATATTTCTCTTATTTCTGGCAGTTGATTTGGAGACACAGAGTTTACACTACTTCTTAGTATCTTTACAACCAGCCCAGCAGCTGGCCGAGTTGCACACTGTGCTGCCTATTCCTGTTCACTCACTCCTGTAAAGAGAGCAAGTGTATGAGCTGACCTCAATTCTCTTTTGCAAAGGAAGAAATCCTAGCAAACTCATGCCTTTCATGGATGTTGTGAAAGAAGATAGAGACATGATCTTACACTGTAGTAATGAAGACTGTATAACTATCTAAATGAGGAAATTTCCCATGTTTCACTGTACAAGGAATAAGTAATATTACCTGGTTGGATCCTTAGATAGTACAAGTTCAGACTAATTTAAGACAACATCAAACTGAATTCATGGTAATTTAGGATGTCTGTAGTATTCTGCAAGGAAATACTGATCTGTAAAGAAAAGGAAAGTAGAAAAAAGTCCTTATCAGATAACAACTATTAAATCTTGCCGTAATCTTAGACAGTTATTGATTAATCTCAAAATGATCCAATATCATAATTTCACTTCAATTTAACAAATGAGTTGCTTAGCTCTGTTTTGTTTTAATTTTATTGTCCTAATCTGTAACTGAAATATATCAAGGTACCTTTTGCCAGAACTGGATTTTATATAACAAAGTTATTTCCACACAAAATTCCTGTCGAGTTCTGTACATAAACTAGGGACATATCAGCTCTCCATGTTCATGCATGGCATGTTCAGCAATATTAATCCCTTCTAGACCTGTCTCTGGCATAAGTCTGAGAAGCTTCTTGTAATTTTGGATAATAAGAATTCCATCTACAAATGAACTTGTCTATTACACATTTTTTTCCTATGTGTCACATTAGAAAAAAAAGATAACAGCAATTATAAGAACTGCTATAAGTTGCATTTTAGTGCTGTCAGCATCTGGTATAGCAAACAAGATAGTCAAGGATGGAAACATCATTAAAATAATGTTAGTAACTTTTCCTGGACTAATCTTTTTCAAATGCCCCAAAGATAAAGGACAGTTCCTACAATACTAAATACTAGAAAAGAAGAAGAACATGAATTTGTCTTTTTTTTATTTTTATTTTTATTTATTTATTTTTTTAAGCAGTCAGAATGCCATTTGCTTTGTTCCAAACAGTAGTTTTGAAAGAGCAATTATCTAAATACAGGTAAAAATATTGTAATCAGAGCTTACATTATAGTAAGTTTATGGCTCTCGAAAAATATCTTGTTCAGGGATTTGTTCAGAGCATACAGAAGTTCTGTCAGAACAGATGGGGAGGGATAGTAAAAGCTACATGAGGAGACTATAAAACAACAGTATCACTGACTGTTAATGTACTTTAAACTCCTGTCTTCTGCAGATGCCGCCTTTATTCCATATTGCAAAATTTATCGATTTTACAGTCCAGTCTTGTGCAATAAAGGCAGTTCTACATGATCCAGTAACACGGGTCAAAATGGCAAAGCCTTTGAAAGACATTTGCCAAGTGTGACTGCCCAATGTAGTCGGCTTTTAGGTATACTAAAGTAGCATTTCGAGCTGTACTTGCAATTATAAGTGTCTGCATACAACATGATGATGGTCTCTGAAGATGAGGAAGACGAAAGGCAGAAAATGAGTAAAAAAGATCACATTCAGACCTCCTGCTGAAGGTGCCAGAGTTGGGACTGAAACTAATTCCTCCTTGACTGATTAGGGAGCAAAGTTCTGACAGTGCTGGATAACAGACAGCCACAGCAGCTCATGGTGGAGTGTAGATGTCAAACTAGAAGTGATAGAGTTGTAACACGCTTATAGTAGGAAGTTTATATGCAGCCTATGTAGCCTGAAGCTGAACTGTGAAGCAGCCTCCTGCTGATTTCAAAAGGAATATTAAATACTTTGGAAGTGCTGAGCCTAAATGACTCCACCAAAGTCACAAAAGAAACCTCTGGCAGAACAAAATTTGGATCACCTTTGTCTTCATGCAGTGCCTTCATTCATGACCATCCTTCTTCTTTAAAGATGATCACTGATAATTGAAGTGGTGAAAAAAAGTTAACAGCAAGGATATGTCACGAGCCCTAAAGATTTACAATCTCAGGACCAAATGCTGCAGTTAGCCAAGACTTTTTTTCCTAAACTTTGTTTCAGTAAGTTCATCCTGTGTGACACTGCTCACACAGACCAATAATTATAGCACATCTTTGGAAAGATGTGCCGTCTTAAAGATGTTAAAGAGTCTACCAAAGAGCACTTGAGAGCATTCTTGTGGTTGATAGACCCCTCAGTTCTACACAGACATTTCAGCTGCAAGCTTCTTGCTTTTAATATATTTGTTATACACTCTCAGTTGTAAAGTAATATGGTATTATCAAATAGCCATGTCCTCTTATAACCAATAAGCAAAGCTTTTTAAGATGGCCAGGTGAAGATTCTTCTCATTGCAAAGACTTTCTCTATGCTTTAAACAACATATAGTTATCTAAAAGTAAGCATTGAATCTAATCATATTATTCATATCACCTCTACATTTGGTAGATAAAAACATTTCACGAGAATTTTCCCTTATTTCTGGACAGCTAGATAATCGCTTTGAGGGATACCAATCTTTCCAGTGACTGTATTGGAGCCTGACCAACAGATTTTGACTGAACACTACATTTTTTTTCAATGAAGATAAAGCCTGTCCTTTAAGTGGTAACAGTATTTCAGTGGTAGCTGAAATTCTACTGTGATATCCCATCTCCCAGTCCTTTCCAGAGCAGCAGACATTATTTCCCAAAGAGATCGTGGCTGGCCCTCATTTCCTAATAGCTCGTTCTGGCAGGAACGCTTGTTTCCAGCCATAGATAAAAGACTGAAGCTGATGAAGAAAAAAAAAGAAAGAAAAAAACCACCAACAACACACAGGCTGCTCACATAGCCTTTGTGAGGCAGCAAAGTTAATTGCTATGTAATTACCAACCAACTAAATTGTTTAATGTGGTAAAATGTGACCAGGGTTGTTACTTCTGTTGCAAGTAGTGGCTCGTGATGCCATCTGCAACCCATCAAGATTCACATAGTGAATTTGTTGCAGATGTAAGGCAAACTCTAGACATCTCCAAGCATGTTGTTAAAAACCCCCATCAAGTGAATACTAACATTTCTGTTGTTTCAGATGTCACTGTGGCTATTTACACAGGGCTCAATGATGCCGCACTTGTTCATGTTGATGAGGGAAGAATATGGTTAGTTAAGAGAAGAGCAGGTTGGCAATGGCTTCTGAGGGTAGAAACAAAAATAAATGAGAGATAGAAGGCACATCAGTGTTCAACCATAATTGGAAATCCAGCTTGGCCATGTGGAGAGGAAAGCAATGAGGGGGAAAGGAATGTGGTCTGTCATGAAAGCAACATTCTGGCTGTGGGATCAGAAGCATCTTGTATAAACAGCAGGCAACTGCTGGATCAGTTACTGACTCCTGGGTGTGGCACACTCAGTGCCCAGTGCTAGTTGGTGAATGTGCCAGGTTAGAGTCACAACTGCAACAGGTGCCGATGCTTTGGGCTGTAAAGTTGGGAAAATGCTGTGAAATCTGGGCTGTAAAGCTGAAAATAGATTGAAACCCAAGTGCATGGAGATTCTCTGAAAGATGCTGCATAGCAAGTAGCTTGCAGATCTGCAGCATCTTCAGCAGAGTAGGAAGAGTAGGATAGGTCTCTGTGGGAATCATAGGGTCTGAGCACAGTCTCCTGCCGCCAGCATCCTGGGGACTGCCACTGCATGCGGAAAGAATCATATGTTTTTTAACAGTCTTCTCCATTATCTTAAATCTCCAATTCAAAAGGTCATTGCAAAAAACACAAATAGTGACACTTCCAACCTGTGCTTCAAAACATTGACCTACTTCCTGATGTCTCCTCACACTGTATCACTTGTCACATGTAAGCAGCTGGGTTTTTTTCTTTTGTTTTTAGATTTTATTTATTTACTATTTATTTTACAGAAGTGGCTCAGGGATCAAGGAAAGCCTTTTGAGCTCCTTGGTACCTGAGGTGGT